ATTACTTCTAATGAGGAAACACAAAAGCACCAAAATTGCTAAGAGAAAAGTTAAATTGTCAACGTTTAAAACTCATTTCCGACCAGCAGGGAAAGGCTATAAAAAGATAGGGCTTTAAATGAACATTCATTTAAAATTAATGAATGTTTGATTTGTGTTTAAAGAGCAAAGCTGTCTGAAATGTGTTTGTCCTATCAGCTTCTATTTGTAGGTTTGCTCATTACGGTGAATGCTATTGAATCACATTATTCAGCATATGGGCCAGCAGGTGTGCACAGCCAGTGCTATAACGTCTTTGTTTGTTGTTTCTTAAATTGTAAGAGACAAATGCATGGTTATTCATTTCAGCGCTTTGTCTCAGATATCATTGGATTTATTCTTGCTCTGCAGAAAAAAAGGACAGAAACAGAAAGGATTTTGTCCAAGTAACATTTTGTGAACTTATTTGTGATGTTACTTAAACCAAAACATAACGTCTCTGAAAAATCTGATCTAAAGATGTGAGCGATTGAGACCAAAAACACATGCATGAGAAAACTAGTGTTAGAACCATAGTATAATTACAGTTATGTTATTATGGTTTCAAAGTTGGGTGCTCCAGCTTTAAATCATACTGTATGGCACAGTGGCTGAGTGGATAGCACCCTCACTTCTCAGCAAGAATCCCTGGGTTCGGAACAGAGCGTTTCTGAGTGTAGTTTGCATGTTCTCCACGTGTCTCCCTAGGTTTCCTCCGAGTGCTCTGGTTTCCCCTACCACTAAAACTGTGCACTATAGATATACTGTGCCTTGCGAAAGTATTGAACCTGTCAACATTTCGCCACATTTCAGGCGTCAAACATAAAGATATACAAATTAAAATTTTTGTCAAGAATCAACAACAAGTGGGACACAATCCTGAAGTGGAACGAAATTTATTGGATTATTTAAACTTTTTTAACAAATAAAAAACTGAAAAGTGGGCCGTGCAATATTATTCGGCCCCCTTGCGCTAATACTTTGTAGCGCCACCTTTTGCTGCAATTACAGCTGCAAGTCGCTTGGGGTATGTCTCTATCAGTTTTGCACATCGAGAGACTGGAATTCTTGCCCATTCTTCCTTGCAAAACAGCTCAAGCTCAGTGAGGTTGGATGGAGAGCGTTTGTGAACAGCAGTCTTCAGCTCTTTCCACAGATTCTTGATTGGATTCAGGTCTGGACTTTGACTTGGCCATTCTAACACCTGGATACGTCTATTTGTGAACCATTCCATTGTAGATTTGGCTTTATGTTTTGGATCATTGTCCTGTTGGAAGATAAATCTCCGTCCCAGTCTCAGGTCTTTTGCAGACTCCAACAGGTTTACTTCCAGAATGGTCCTGTATTTGGCTCCATCCATCTTCCCATCAATTTTAGCCATCTTCCCTGTCCCTGCTGAAGAAAAGCAGGCCCAAAGCATGATGCTGCCACCACCATGTTTGACAGTGGGGATGGTGTGTTCAGGGTGATGAGCTGTGTTGCTTTTACGCCAAACATATCGTTTTGCATTGTGGCCAAAAAGTTCGATTTTGGTTTCATCTGACCAGAGCACCTTCTTCCACATGTTTAGTGTGTCTCCCAGGTGGCTTGTGGCAAACTTTAAACAAGACTTTTTATGGATATCTTTGAGAAATGGCTTTCTTCTTGCCACTCTTCCATAAAAGCCAGATTTGTGCAGTGCACGACTGATTGTTGTCCTATGGAAAGACTCTCCCACCTCAGCTGTAGTTATCTGCAGTTCATCCAGAGTGATCATGGACCTCTTGGCTGCATCTCTGATCAGTCTTCTTCTCCTTGTTTGAGATGAAAGTTTGGAGGGACGCCGGGTCTTGGTAGATTTGCAGTGGTCTGATACTCCTTCCATTTCAATATAATTGCTTGCACAGTGCTCCTTGAGATGTTTAAAGCTTGGGAAATCTTTTTGTATCCAAATCCGGCTTTAAACTTCTCCACAACAGTATCTCGGACCTGCCTGGTGTGTTCCTTTGTCTTCATGGTTCTCTCTGTGCTTTAAACAGAACCCTGAGACTATCAAAGAGCAGGTGCATTTATACGGAGACTTGATTACACACAGGTGCATTCTATTTATCATCATCAGTCATTTAGGACAACATTGGATCATTCAAAGATCCTCACTGAACTTCTGGACTGAGTTTGCTGCACTGAAAGTAAAGGGGTCGAATAATATTGCACTCCCCACTTTTCAGTTTTTTATTTGTTAAAAAAGTTTAGATTATCCAATACATTTCGTTCCACTTCACGATTGTGTCCCACTTGTTGTTGATTCATGACAAAAAAAATTAATGTTATATCTTTATGTCTGAAGCGTGAAATGTGCCGAAATGTTGAAAGGTTCAAGGGGGCCAAATAATTTCGCAAGGCACTGTAAATATAATGAGTGAGTGAATGGATGGTGTTGATTAGGGAGAAAATGGAACATTATCTGAACTCTGAATACTGTAAAGTGCTTTGGGAGACCTTGGAGTGTAAAATATGATATATAAATAAAGATTTCTTACTTACTTACCTGAGTGTACACAGTCTCAGTTTGTTTTCAGAATTCAGCATGGTCAATATCCAGGCAAATTCTTCTCTTTGTTCACTTACGTCAAACACCTGCTGAAGGCTTGACTAACTCTAAATATTTGTCTATAAACTCCCTCCAGAAATTCTTGTGAAAAATAGAATATAAAAGTGTATTTAAAGAGCTGAGCAGGAGGTGAACTTGGGGGCTTGGAATTAAAATGGTAACAGAGCTTGAGCACAGATAGGGAGGGGAAGAATGTGGCAAACTATAATAACATTACCATTATCTGTGGAGGGGTCTGTGGGCTGCTGCTCTGGCCATCATAGACCAGAGAGAGAAAGAAATCAGCACCTGTGAGTCATTCTTCACTGTCACTGGTGAACCTGGACAAATTGGGAACTATTGGCCTATGTGCACCTGGTTCAATGGTGTTAAAACAATGGTGTCGTAGATGAAAAAAAAAGTGCCACAATTATAGTGAGAAGAACACTGATCTTGATGCAGTTTGTCTAAAGTCTATTATATCGCATTGGTTGCATTAACAAGAGCTACCATACCTCGTTGTTAGTGGTTGAGTGAAGTCATTTCTTTTTATTTTCAATTTGAAATTACAACAAAAACCTCCTCTTCTGACCCTGATTAGAAGTCAGTTTCCATCTCTAAGTTCTTAAGTGTGTATTGCCCCTTTAACATGTGATAGCTTGGATAGCTTTTGTGGTATTGTGGATAAGGTTCTGTATCCTCTCTGACAAATGAGCAAAAAAGGCAAAATGAGCATATAGGCCTGACATTTACTCTATCATATTGAATTTCTTGTCACCGCTAATAGGATTAGATCTGTCTGTGTTGGTAAAGTAGATTCGTCCAAAGTCCTAGAACTTTAGAAAAATCTAAAATATTAAGTGAGCCTGCAGATCACACTATATTTTTGGACCAGATTATTTACAATTATAACACTGGAAAAAGAAGAGACCATTATCAAAACCAATACAGAATCCAAAAAATAAAAACTCCACAAAATACAGTACCTTCTTTGTATTACTTGGGTAATGTTTTTTTTCACCTGTACCCACAAACCTCACGTTTTTGACAGACACAGAAACAGATGCTTGGAATTATGTTTATTCACTCTTATCAGTGTGAGAAATCCACTAGCCGATTTATTTTTGTCTCTTTCCACTCAGGCAATGATAGATGGGAGTTCAATGCTAGTTTACTGAGCCACAGTTTTCAAATCAAAGTCAATTTTACAGTTTAGTCCAGCCCGAGTTCCTCTCCTCCATTCCCTTATTCAAACTCAATTTCTGAGACTTGTGGGGGACAGCTTGTGGCCTTTCTGTTGGTCGATCACATTTTCTTGTTCATTTAAAAGCCACTGACGAGGCCTTCCGATTACAGCATGAATAATAAATTGCCCTCTCTAATTCTCCTTCTGCTGGTAGAAGCCTGTTTAATTCTGTGGCCATCCCTGAGCATTATTGAGCCTGCTTGCTTGAGGTGAAAAACAGAAACAAGCCTGGACAGATGACATGGATATCCCTGGTTTAATAAACAAAACAGCCAGGATGCGTTTACATACATCATCCTGAGAGCTTGTATAAACCAATACATACAATATTGGTTTATCCTGCATTATTACGTCACAGAAATTGCTAATATATGTGCTGTGAATCCATGCATCTCCCTTTATCCGATTACACGACAGCCCATATACTCGTGCTGGATCAGTTACCCGCAAAAGTCGCGTGGCCGTGACTTGAGCTTCAATTTGTGGAGTAATTACAGATTTCCCTTTATTTAAACAGAGGAAACTTGAGCGCAGACTTCCATCCTAATGCACCCATCAGTGTGCGGCAGGCGGGAGGGAGGATGAGTCCATAAAAGGGGCGAGAACTAGCACAGATTTGCAGCTCATCGGGTAATCGCCATGCAGTCGGGCCTTTCCTTATTATCACGGCCTTATTAATTATTCAACAGGTTGTCTGCCTCAATAAATGACTTCCTTCTGGTCCCCCCATCCACTTAGGACAATATGTACCGCTCATCCCCATTTCTTAGAGAGGTTAGGTCTCCATCTACAGGTGATGAGAGGTACTGCAGACCTGGCGCAGTCCCATATGACAATTGCTGAACTAATATGCACGATAATCACATAAACACTGGGGGCTATTAACAATCTCTGTCACATTTGATACCACAATTGGAAAATAAAATGGTCAAATTAGTCTTGTGAGAGAAGTAGAATTCAGGTGAAATATACAATGCCTTAAATTACAGCTAATGTCGTTAGTAATATGATGCAAATTGGCTTGTAATATGGAAGTCAAGTTGCTATACAAAGCATTTATTATTCATTTATAATAAAACATTTACATAATTGCAAAATGGGATAAACTTAATGTACAATACTTAAAACAGTGGATATAAATAAGAGGTGGTACAAAGACAGGCACATTTACATATAACTAGAAAGTTTCTCTTTTACTTTCTCTTCGATGTTGGCAAAGTACTTCATTTTTGTGAGCAGCGCTTTGGCAGTTTGAAGCTCTCCTGTTACGAAAATAGAAGAAAAGGAAAAGTTCAATCATTGACTCCTAGTGTGACTTAAGAGAAGGCAGCAGCTTAGATTACAAGACGAAAGAAATGGGAGTAGGAGAAAAAGCGAACATTTGTCTGTGGATAATACCTTTATTGAGGGCAGAGTCTATCTGCTCAGTCAAGTTTGCCAATTTCCCTGCAAGCACAAAGCACAGGTTGTCAATGCAGGTGCAACTAAGTGAGTATAGGGTGCTTTTTAGTGAGTAAGCTCAAAGAAAACAAGTTGTACAACCTACCAAAAGCAGGTTGAACAAAAAATGATGTGTTATTATGGCAACAAAACAAAATAAGATCCTATGTGTGCTCATTCAAGACAAATCTCTCAACAGACATCTTTAGTTTGATTGAACTTTCCTTTGTTCTTCCATCATCATAAAATGGATATCTGATAATTCCTGGTTAATTAACCATGTCCGACAGCCATACACATGAACTGCCATTAGTAGCCAGATCAAAGGCCATTGTGAGTCTCATAAAGTCGAATGAGCCCAAAGGACAGACCTGTACCTTTTGTGTCTTGGCCGATCTCATTAGCTTCTTGCGGTGTCTGTACTGCATCAAGGGCTTCATTGATCTCCATCAGCTCCATTAGAAGCTCAGAATTGACTGCAGAATCTGTGCCTTCCCCGATATTCAGCCCCTGCAATTCCAGCTGAGACATATGGCATTGGTTCAGTGAGCTAACCTGCTCAGAAAAACAGATCGCTGTCTGAGCTACAGCAGATGGTGAAGATAATCTCATCGGATAACCCAAATTGTGTGTTTTTACTATGTAAGTAAAAGTAAACTTTTTGTACTCACCATATAAAGACCTCGACTCAAAGGCTTAAGCAGAGTTTCGTACGCTTTGTTCACTAAAGCAGACTGGCTCTCTGAATACCCCTGCTCGATCTGGAAAGGCACACACAGTAACCCAGGAAAAAATAACAATATATGTGTTAGTTTATCACTAAAACCCAGAAAAATATTGGTTAATCATCGTGAGTTGCAGAATTGCTACATGAGCTCCTGAATCCAGCTCACTTTCTTGTGACCTGGATTCCCGCAAACATGTCCCTAATATAACATAACTAAACAAAAGACAGTCCAATTCAAGTAAAAGATGTGAGTGAGCAATATGAAAATTATCACAACCAATTTGATTGGCCTTGCAACCAAATAACTATATGTTAGTAACATTGATGTTAATATTTGCAAAGTAATGCCGAGTCCAAATTCCAATGATCATCATAATTGTATGCTTATCGATTCCAAAATTGTCTTTTTGGACAACACCAGATATTAAATAGAACAACAACACACATACACTGACAAATGCAATGCCGTTAGCTGTTTGTAGCCAAACTGTTTGGGGGCTTTTCAATGGAACCGAGTGCGACAAGGCAGACGTGTGGAAACATGACAGGGAGAAATATATTGTGGAAATGGGTTGGCAGATCTAAGTACACTTTGCTGCTATCAGGTCTGTCAGCTCTGGTAAAAAATCAATAGTCTCAACCCACAGGCCCGTCATACCAGACTGTTTCTGTAAAAACAACTAGTGCAGTATGTGCTGCCTTGCTCCCTTCAACAAGTAATGACTTTTCCATACATGATGAAGGCCCCAAATGAAGGAGGTCTAATGAAGAGAAAATGGCTAGAGGTTCTGATAAATTAAAAGCCCTTGGATATTCATACTTAGCCGTCTGGTATTATAAGTTTTCTGAATTTTTATTCCATCAATTTTGTTAAGTTTTAAAGGTCTGTAGCAGGAATCAAAGCAGAGACTTCCCTATCCAAGCACACTTCCTCCAGCATATCAGGGGGGATCCCAAGGGGGGTCCTGGGTCTCCTCTGCAGTCTCTTGCGAGTGTGGCATGCCCGGAACACCTCCCCCAGGAAGGCGTGCAGGAGGCATCCCTCTTTACCATAATTTGAACTTGAACATACTTGAACTCCTCCACGAGAGAATAAACCTGACCTCACCTTTGTCCAGGGACTGCACTGCGATTTTAACAAAAGTACCACTTATTGTACTAAACTGCTGGACAATTTACTTTATCCATGAAAGGCTGTGCAGAACATTATAGGAGGCAAAATGGCTAAGTATTAAAACTTCAAAGCAAGGCGGTCTGAGTGAGTTGCCTATAAGCAGTCTAGTTTCCACCCTCAACAAACTAATCTGGTGAAGTGAGTAATTGGTGGCAGTTTGAGAGGCTGGTTTCGCAGATGGACAGGCATCCCCATTTACAGCCAAATGTATTATTATTATTCTTTAAATTTTTTTTTTTTTTTTTTTCAAGCAACGCAGGAGCAGCACAGTATAAGAAAATAAAACAAAAAATAATAATAATAATAATGTTAGAAATAATTTCACTTAGATAATGCTTACTGTCCAGTGTGTTACTCTGGTGGAAAAATTGACATTTTAGGACAACTATCAATCATTTTGAAAATTGCATAGTTTGAATTCCATTTCCTAATAAGTAGCAACATATGGCAATGCATAAGATGACAAAAAACATGGAAAAAGATAAATCATATTTCAAATACCTTAAAATATGATTCATCTTATTTTAAAAGACCTAATAAAGACAACCACATACAAAAATGCATGCATGATGATCTTTTTTAGGTCATCATGCATGCATGCTAAAAAACATCATAACTTACATCCATTTTCTTCCCTTTAATCCATTTCTGGGTCAGGGGGGTGGCGATCAGAGATGCCACCCAAGTCTCATAGCACCAGCCCCTCACTGACCCTCTGCAGGTGGTGAGTCCACAGGAGGACGGCTGCTCTCTGAGTGTGAGCATAGCCTTGATCTTTCAGTGGGGGCTTTGGCCAAAGTAGGGTTAAGTGTCTTGCCCAAGGACACAACGACAGCAGTCATCAGTGGGAGTCGGTGGAGAAGGTGTAGAGGTGGGAATTGAACCCACGACCTTCAGGCCTTAAGGCCAATGCTCTACCAACTGAGCTACTGTCGCCCTCATAACTAACTAACTAACTTTAAATTGGAATTATTGCCATTTGGTTTGCGTTGACTCAAAGGTTTCTTTAAGTACTAAAATGTAAGATTTTCATTAAATGGTCCTAATTTGTCAAAAGGCATTAAGAAACCATGCTCTTTCGAAATACTTCTTTAACTTATAACAGTAGTTCAGCCGAGATATTCAAATTTCAAAATAAGTTCTACAGCCTGTCAATCTTGTTATGGTTTTCATTTCGATGTTCCGCCCTAAACTGTTTTAACATGTGGCCGCAGAACCAAAAAATGTCCCATAATGATTCTCAAATCATTAATGACAAAACAAGGAATAAAATGAGAATTTCTATCGGGAACTTTGTGAAAAAGGTGTAGGTTATAGGTGTTGGTCTATTTATTGTAGAAAAAAAAAAAACAAATAGACATAATTCAGATATATCATCCCAGCTGGAGTCTGGGAGTCAGGGAGAGTGAGAGAGGTTGCAGTACCACTTTAGGCCAGATTTGTTACATATTTACGTATTTCTCCTTTAAAATATCAACACAGTGGGTTCAATGTCTTACCTCAGACTTCTGGCTGAAATTGTCTGGATGCAGCAATCGCTGAAGTTGTAAATACTTCTTCTGCAACCGATGTGTGTCCAGTGTAAATGTGCAATCACTAAAAAGAAAAGCATCAATCAAACATTACAAACTAAATAAAATCACCCACAACCTAAAATAAAAACAAAATAAAAGTGCTGAAGTTCTCACCACTCCAGGATGTTAAAGTAGGATATGCCTTCATGGGGAGGTTGGATTACTTCACAAGACTTGCAGAAAAAGGCAGGGGTCAGATCCAGTGGCTGTTTACAATTCCAGCAGTTCAGAATTCCCTGAGTTGTGCACAGATGTCGAACTAACACGTCCTGTGTGCCACTTGTGCGTGGGACAAACCGCTGCTGCAGACTCCAGGTGGAGCAGAGTCTGTCCTGTGTTGATGCACTGGACTTACACTGGAGTAATGCACATGTAACATCAGACCAGTCGCTTGTCTGTATTGACGCCCGACTTGTAATGATCCTCCGTAGAGTACTAACACGCATCATTATGACACTTTCAAGGCCCTTCAAACCAGGTACGGTGGGTAATCGGTAATAGGTTGTTATTATTATAGATCCATGTGATTAATACTACACGCAAAATAATAAGTTATGTCTGAATGACACAGGAAACGGGGCACTTCTTCTTCTGCCTTTGCTTCGCCGCAGCGCCCTCTGTGTCGCGGCGGAGTAATGGATCTAACGGGGATAACAGCGCAGAGCTAGCCTAGCAGAGGTGCCAACACAAGAAACAATACTTCTGGACTGTTGGAATTAATGCCACAACGCCAAAGGTAGTACATTTAGCTGAATTTATCTTATGTTTACGGGATTTTTCCTCACGACCTTATGCTTCAGATTTAAAATAATAATACTTCAGGGTAAAACCTCGGGTTAGCGCGTAGCTAGCATAGTTATAGCTGTACACATTCGCAGTATAGTTTACTCGGAGCTGGTAAAATATCTCTGTCATCGCTGTGTCACACTCACACTGTAGGATGCACTGACACCTCTTGGATAACGGGAGAAATAAGCGTTCCTCTGCGGAGCGGTGTCTAAAGACAAAGACATGTTCACCACAGACTGTTTACACCACGGTTAGATCTCTCTGCTACATCCATGGCTGCAAACCGTACTGATTGTTTACAGAACGACTGTTTCACATAATTGTATCATTATTATAAACAAATAGTCTGTACATAGTGTCTAAAATTCGTTCTTGTTTGTATACACTAGTATGCTATAAGTATAACAGTATAAACTTGTTTTGACTCAGCTGTAAAGCACTTTGTGTTGCATTTTATTGTATGAAAAGCGCTTTATAAATAAAGTTTGATTGATTGATTGATTGTGTAAAATCGTTGCCCACTTTGTATTATTTGTGTTTATTTGCCAAATTCATAGACCCTGGAGTAAAATTGATGGCTCTGAGAGCAATGATCCTGACCAAGTGTTCTGTCCCGAGACAGAGGCTGGCCCACCAGACCTTGCACCAGGCACTGGGCCACAGATAACACTTCTGAAGGTAAGAGTTTACAGGCTTTGTTACACTCTGAACTCCAGCCAATAGGGTAGTTATGAAACATAGACATGTTGTCTCCTCCTCGTATTTACAGTTTCCTTAGAGAGAACAATCTGTAATGACGCCCAGACTGCAGCCTGTGTATAACTTTGTACTTTTGGGTTTGGCAGGGTGCAAAAGGTGATGGTGGAGTATCCCAGAGAGACACTGCTGGAGACAGCAGCCCTGCAAAGGTAAACAGGATCTTATCCTGAAGGTCGAGGGAGGTGCTTTTCAAGGCCCTCACAGACAATACTCTGGGTATTATTAACGGAAATGGCTAAGAATAGAGAGCAGGAGAGAGAGGTGGCTTCTCTGGCGACGCTGTTGTTTGGGTTAAACACGCCAAAACGGAACATCTTCTTTGGAAGAGTCCTCTCCGGCTCAATGCAGGGCGTGTCAGTGTCAGAGCTGAAGCTAAAGAAGGACATGAAGGGACAAGGCCATTTGATTGTTACTGCATGTAACCTATGGATTTGTTATCACCTATTTATGGATTTACTGCTTGTTTCATGGACATGTGCTGTACGTACGACTTTTATTTAACCATTTTTATGAAGTTGAAAAGGGGCACTTTATGTTGGAAGGTTTTCCTGCGATGTTCCATAAGTGGCTTCAGCAAAAGTCGTAATTATGAGGCAAGCTTGATAGCCACAGCAACTGGAACGTTGCTAGTAAGGAAATGTCAAAATGGGACAAACATAGGATAGACCCTCAATTATGAAGACATTTTCATTCTTTAAGCTCATAACTATTGTCACTATTACTGACACGATATTAATTACTGTGTAATGTATGCATTGTCTCCTGTAAAATTGTAGTTGTGTTACATCTCTGGAAATGGAATCCAATAAGGTTTAAATGTGGGACAAATATTAGAGAACAGTGTATCCATAACTTTGGTGCTCTTCTTGGAACTTATGGAAAGCAGGTCAAAGGACTTCCCACGTCCTATAGTCTGTGATGAGCAGTGAAGTCAGAGGCACTTTGATTGTAAATGTAAAATTATTTGCCACGTGTACTTGCAATTGGTCTGTGACGAGGCATATCAGATCTTTGGCTTTTCTGCACACCATCACAGACATGTGTTTAGCCTCTTTGACCTGCTTGTCCTAGGATAGTTATTGTTTGAACAGTAAATTAGTTCAAGATGTAATCAGTTGTAAGTAATCAATTAAATTTTTTCAGCTCTCAGCCCATTGGTTTATTTTGCTTTTTATATTCAGATTTATCCTTGTCGAAGCAGGAGGGTCTGTTAAATAATGAGTGCCCAACGAGAAGGACAGCGGTAATGATCCAGGACACTCTAACATTCTACAACATTTATGGAAATTTATCAACATTCATGGATATTGGTCAAACTCCAAATATTATATTGGTCAAACTCCAAAAATAATTACTGTTGTAATTTAGGGCTATACAAGAATACATTGAAATTAATAAAATTCAATCCAATCATATTTCTGAATGTGTTTGTTTATTTTGTGTCTTACAGATAAACCATGATTCCGATCACAGAGCTGCGGTACTTTGTGGACACACAGCCTGCGTACCGCATCCTGAAGCCATGGTGGGACGTGTTCACCGACTACATATCCATCGTCATGCTGATGATTTCTGTGTTCGGGGGAACGCTGCAAGTCACCCAGGACAAAATGATTTGCCTGCCTTGTAAATGGGTGGTCAATCAGACTTGCAAGAGGTCTTTTAATTCCTCATTTTCCACACCAGTGCTGTTGGAGCCCAAGGGAATACAATATGATCTGGATCGTCATCAGTACAACTATGTGGATGCTGTGTGTTACGAGAATAGACTGCACTGGTTTGCTAAATACTTTCCTTACTTGGTATTACTCCACACGCTCATTTTTCTCGCTTGCAGCAATTTTTGGTTTAAATTTCCAAGAACAAGCTCCAAACTAGAGCACTTTGTATCAATTTTGCTCAAATGCTTTGACTCACCTTGGACAACTAGGGCACTTTCTGAGACTGTGGTTGAAGAGAGTGACCCCAAACCCATGAAAATGAATGGTTCCATGGATCACAAGGCATCTGTTATCAGCGAGGACGTAGAAGCAAGTGTCCCCATGCTCCAAAGGACTAAAACACGCTTTGAGCAGGGCATTGTCGATCGAACTGAAACAGGAGTTCTCGACAAAAAAGAGGGTGAGCAGGCCAAGGCATTGTTTGAAAAAGTGAAGAAGTTTCGTATTCATGTGGAGGAGGGAGATATTGTCTACAGGCTTTACATGCGTCAGACTATTATTAAGGTTATCAAGTTTATTCTAATTATTTGTTACACAGGGTATTATGTGCATGATATTAAATTCAGTGTTGACTGTTGGGTGGACATTGAGAGCTTGACTGGTTACAGGATGTATCGTTGTGCACATCCCCTAGCTACACTTTTTAAGATCTTGGCCTGTTTCTACATTAGCTTAGTGGTGGTGTATGGTCTCATCTGCATGTATACTCTGTGCTGGATGCTTCGGCGATCTCTAAAGAAATATTCTTTTGAATCTATACGTGAAGAGAGCAGCTATAGTGATATTCCTGATGTTAAGAATGACTTTGCATTTATGTTGCACATGATTGACCAGTATGATCCTCTGTACTCCAAGCGCTTTGCTGTCTTCCTGTCTGAGGTGAGCGAGAACAAATTGAGGCAGCTCAATCTCAACAATGAGTGGACACTGGATAAGCTGAGGCAACGGATCACAAAGAATTCTCAGGACAAGTTGGAATTGCACCTTTTTATGCTCAGTGGTATTCCCGACACAGTGTTTGATTTGATGGAATTAGAAGTTCTGAAGTTGGAGCTTATTCCAGATGTGACTATTCCTCCGATAATTGCACAACTAATTAACCTTCGAGAGATGTGGCTTTACCACACTCCAGCCAAAATTGAGGCTCCTGCATTAGCATTTTTGCGAGAAAATTTGAAATCATTGCACATAAAGTTCACGGACATCAAAGAAATTCCATTGTGGATTTATAGTTTGAAAAACTTGAGCGAGTTGCACTTGACTGGAAATCTCAGCTCGGAGAACAATCGCTATATTGTGATTGATGGACTTCGTGAGCTCAAGAGGCTCAAAGTCCTCCGACTAAAGAGTAATTTGACTAAGCTACCTCAAGTAGTTACGGATGTAGGGCTGCATCTCCAGAAGTTGTCCATCAACAACGAGGGGACCAAGCTTATGGTGCTGAATAGTCTGAAGAAGATGGTTAACCTCTCAGAGCTGGAGCTCATTCGCTGTGATCTCGAGCGCATCCCACATTCAATTTTTAGTTTGCACAATTTGCAAGAATTAGATCTAAAAGACAACAACCTAAAGACTATAGAGGAGATCATCAGTTTTCAGCATCTTCACCGCCTGGTCTGCCTTAAGCTCTGGTATAACCAGATAGCCTACATCCCCATCCAAATTGGGACACTGACCAACCTGGAGAAACTTTACCTGAACAGGAACAAGATTGAAAAAATTCCAAGCCAACTATTTTACTGCCGCAAGCTGCGCTTCTTGGACCTGAGCCATAACAACTTAACACATGTTCCAGCAGACATTGGCTTCCTCCAAAACCTCCAGTACCTGGCGGTGACTGCAAACCGAGTAAGTATAGCTTGTGTGTTGTGACTAAGGCTTTTTAATTAATAGGCACTTAATTGTTTTGTTTTTTTCCATATTCCTCTAAAGATTGAAAATCTGCCCAACGAGCTGTTTCAGTGCAAAAAGCTCCGCACTTTGAACTTGGGAAACAATTGCCTTCACTCTCTGCCCTCACGGTTTGGAGAGCTGTGTGCGCTCACTCAGCTGGAGCTCAGAGCCAACCGTCTGGAGTGTCTCCCTGTGGAGCTGGGAGAGTGCCGACAGTTGAAGAGGAGCGGGCTGGTGGTGGAAGAAGACCTCTTTAACACTCTGCCCACAGAGGTCAAAGAGCAGCTGTGGAAGGCCGACAAGGAGCCTGCATGATCACATGTGCAGTGGAGCAAGAACGGAGCACTAAGTCCAGGTAACGTGCAGTGTGTGAGTCACAGAAGGAACATCTGAGGGCCACACCTGTGACAAACACCTCAGCGTTATTATTTTATGGTAAAACTAAATTTTGATGAGTGATGACTTCAGTTTGTTTCTGTTTATTGCCCAATGCTTTTCATCAAAAAATCTGCATATACGTAATTAATGTGAACAAAAATAAGAAAGACAAAGATAGTGTTTTATCTGCACGAGCACTGTGCTCTACTTGAGCATAATATTTCAGTAATTGGTCAAATTAAGAATAGTCTGAAAACGCTTTGGGGAAATTGTTTGAAATACATAGCATTTTTTTCATTGCAGAGAATAAGCATATGGTTTCAGGACTCCATTCTTTTTAAATCTTGATTTATAAATGATAGACACTATAAAATACCATGGCTTAAGCAAGTGTAAATGTAAGAAGATTTTTGTAATGTATTTTTTTTATGTGGGAACACTTACACATTATCCATTGCTTGTTCTGTGTGCATGCAACTTCGGAAATCATCTAAGAATTGTCTTCCACAGATAAGTGCTTTGCGTTCACTTCAACGCAAACCCAAAATGAGTAGAGCCCTTTTTGTTCAATTTAAAATAATTTGAAATATCTAGAATATGTTCTCAATTGGCAGCCATGTTTTATGTGTTGTTTTGTTTTAGTTTTTTTTTTTATTTACTATGAGAGGTTATTGTCTTTGTAAAGGCTAATTCAAATGTTTTTTGTTTGTTGCTTTTAAATGAAGGCAGCATAACTACAGTGTGTGTTAATTGTGCAATATTACATACAAATGATAGTTGTGATTCACTTATGGGCATTATTATCTTTAAGGTCCTGTTGATTAATTTAATTTTAATTTGTGGACATGTGATAATGCATTTTTAAAGTTGTCAAAAGTATAGCCAAGTTACATTTTTATTGATATGTTTATTTTCATTATTATTATTATTAGTGATATGCAGTAAATATTTTGGGCAGTTCAAGAGAAGGAAACTCAGCAATATATGCCTGCTACCAAAGACAATCCTGTTTTGACAATTACATTTTTTTATGTTAATATAACATTGTAAATTAAATCACAACAGTCTGCTTATTGACTGTTTTAAAACACTTTGTATTATACTTGTTTTTGCATGTATTTCTTCATCATTTAAACAATAATTCTCAGGAACTCTTACTCACGTTTGCATTTACTTTTCCTTATCTTCATTTACATACAATTTTAAAAATATTTTGTAAAACTTTTCTATTACTTTTTTTTACGCAAAGATGGCTTTTAAATATTATGGAACCACTTGATTTATGAGTTTTGTGTACTGAGTAGGCTAACTTGTCTGAAATAAGTTGTACTGTGCGTAATATTGACTGTATAATTAGGGCCATGTGTGGCTATTTTTCTATGTAAATATTTATTCCTTACACATATCATGTCATCCCTAGCAATCTTTGCTTTGGTACTGGTTTCCTATTATAAGATGCTATGTATTCAGTGTTGCATTTTGCCATGGAGCCTACTTTTTCTGTGTACCCTATGTTTGCCAAACATGACCGATCATGGCTGATCAGTTCTCCATCAATAAACCTTATGCAGCTTATGACTCCTTTTGTCATGTAATTATTTGGAAAGTATTACGTTCCAGCTAAAAAATAACAGCCATAAATGTACATAGCCATTTTATTGTTATCATTGTATTGGTGTTTTTAGTATATATTATTTATTATATGTTATATAACCTTCTACAAAGATATGCATGTTAATAATAATTACACCCATGTAGGACAGGAAGGGGAACCTTCAATCAGTCGTACACTGTGACCAGACGGGCTGTTTTTCAAGCGCACCCATTCGGTTGTCTGCGGCTGTGCTTTGATCGCATTCCGTAATGGTAGGTTAATAAATAGTTCCCCAAATATATATTTCCTAACTTCTTTACATAGAAAACATATATTTTAAATGTGGTGTCAATCGTCCGTGTTGTGGTCTGCTAATATCCATAATTGTTGTATTAGTTTACGTAGCCGCTAGCTTATTTTGAAGCGCTGCATCACCATTACACATGTTAGCAGGGAAAGCATTTCATAAAGATTGTTTTTGTTTCTTTATACCCTCTCATCTGTAGGCTGTCACTTTGCACACCGATCTGGGGGATGTTAAAATCGAATTATTTTGTGAACGCGCTCCTAAGACTTGTGAGGTAAGTTCTCAATGCATTGTTCAGTTAAAGCTGGAGTAACATTTAGCATCAAATATTTTACCTCCGTGGGGGTTGGTACACTCTTTTTCACTTAAGGTATTAGTGAAAGCTATTATGTATTTTAGTATTTTACATATTAAATTACAAAAATCTGTTCTTAGAAGAAAGAAAAATACTTTTTGTGGTTTTAAAGTTTAGGTACAGAATGGGCAATTTTAATCTGATTCCAAATGTTTGTAGGTCTATATGTTGTAATAAATCATTTGTTACAGAACTTTTTAGCGTTGTGTGCCAGTGGCTTTTACAATGGCTGCAGCTTCCACAGGAACATAAAAGGGTTCATGGTGCAAACTGGAGACCCAACAGGTACAATAGTGTGTATTTGATTTGCATGCATCGAATTTCTGTCTTAAACCATATGGTTTCTCAATGTAGGTACTGGCAAAGGAGGAACCAGTATATGGGGACGCAAGTTTGAAGATGAGTACAGTGAACATTTGAAAGTAAAATCTGTTTTAAATATGTATAAATATTTAATTGGACTTCACAACTTAAGTAAATTTGCATTTCTCTTTTCAGCACAATGTCAGAGGAGTCGTATCAATGGCAAACAATGGCCCCAACACAAATGGTTCACAGTTTTTCTTCACATACGCCAAACAACCCCATCTGGATATGAAGTATACTGTTTTTGGAAAGTAAGTTAAGTGGACAAACATTGGATGATAGTGTCAATCGCATGGCATTCTTTCAAATCTAGCTAAATTGGCAGAATGCAATTTATGATTTATAATTATAATGAATGACTTGCATGGTATATTGCAAACATATGTACATGTAAATACAAAATGTTTATGTTCTCAAATAAACATTGATCGATTGATATGATTTCTCTCCTTTCTAGGATTATTGATGGTTTTGAAACGCTAGACGAGTTGGAGAAACTGCCTGTAAATGATAAGACTTTCAGACCACTAACAGAGACCCGCATCAAAGACGTGACCGTTCATGCCAACCCGTTTGCTGGGTAAACCAAGGCCTTTCAGGCATAAAGCATCATTGATAATTTTGTATATCACCACGTGAATTGTAAATATGTTTTGTATTAAAGGAAAACTTAAATGTGTTGGTCTTTTTTTATCTAGTGAATATCTTATGAATGTGAATAATATATGAAATTTAGATTATAGTGCAATGCATACAAATATAAAATCCCTGTGCATACAACTAACAACTATTTTCAACCTGGATTCAAACATTGGCGGAGAGGAGGGCTGTCTCACATTTTCAGTAAGATTGTCCCAGATTTGTTTATGAAATCTGCTGCAGAAGTGAGGATCAAAGAGAGATAATCATGTTTGATGAATAAACCTAGGTTAGTTCCGTTCCGTGTGGCTACGCTGTGTGGTCTTTGTGAAAGGATGTCAGTATCGGGCATCATACAGTAGTTTATTCTATGAGCGATTTACAGTCTATGGAGAGCACGCGGGGCAGGGGAAGCTCTTCACTGATTGGCTGCTAACCCGGAACACCCCATGCAGGCCCTCGATCACAAGTTGTTTTGTGACACCGTGGTGAACTAGTCTCAAACTACATTGAAACTCATTCGACATGGCTACAGAAGACGCGTGTAAAGTAAGTATACCGTGTGTGTTATTGTGAGTTACAATAGATCATACTTAGATCATGGTTATAAGCGACCCCGATCCTTAGCTCCGCTTGTTTGTTTGTCTCCCGTAGGTGCACTCTCTGAGGGGAAAGGTGGCTTTAATCACAGGGGCCAGTTCTGGGATCGGAGCTGGGACATGCGTCTTATTCGCGAAACTAGGAGCTTTGTTGGCTCTGAATGGTCGAGATGTAGAAAATTTAAACAAAGTTGCCCAACAGTGTAAAGATTGTGGAGCTGCAGAGGTAGTATTATAACCACATTGACTATTGTTTATACTTTCATTGATGGAATTTGTTTTGGATGCAGCCTTTGCTTGTGCCTGGGGAGTTGACTGATGAAGACACGGTTAAGACTACTGTGGACAAGACCATTGCTCACTTCGGCCGGCTGGATGTCCTGGTGAACAGTGCTGGCATCCTTGCTATGGGCAGCATTGAAACTACTGACCTGGCACAATATGACAAAATCATGAATGTTAATGTCAGGTATGGCTCTGATGGACAAACAGATTTATAGCTAGTCTTTTAGCAAACATCTATTACTGTCTATTTAACTAAAGCAAATCTCCCTAGATCTGTTTTCCATCTCACTCACTTGTGTGTACCTCATCTTATCAAAACCAAGGGATGTATTGTTAATGTGTCCAGTGTCAATGGGCAGAGATCAGTAAGTAGAATTAGAGCACATGTACATTTAAATAAAAGAACACAACCAACTATTCATGTTTCCCATAGTTTCCAAATGTGTTGGCCTACTGTGTATCCAAATCTGCCATTGACCAGTTTACTCGCTGCATAGCATTAGGTGAGTGGGTTTTTATTATTCAATTATTATCGATGAATATAGCCCTGTGCTTTAGTTCTGTGTGGCCCATAAAACCATTGAGTCTGACTACTCAATCATGACTAAAGTATTGATAATTCTGATATATCATAATGTGACTTGTCACAATGTATAAAGCTGTGTACAAAGAATAGAAATAACCTGGACCATTAAATGCATGAAGTCTGTTCTATCCCTTGCAATGCATTAGGATAAGTTAAGAGAACCTTTTATTCGTGCCACAGTGGGGAAATTGCAAGAAATTATTCTTGTACAGTGTAAAACACTGTCCTATAACATGCAACATAATGAATCCTTTTCTTTTTAGAATTAGCACCAAAGCAAGTGAGAGCAAATTCTGTTTGGTAGGTTTAATGTTATTATGAAGATGTTTTAAATATGCATTAAAACCTAATTAACAATTGTTTTTCCTTTCTGATATCAGCCCTGGTGTTATAATTACTGAGGTTCATAAAAGAGCAGGACTGGATGAGGAGCAATATGCAAAGGTAATTAAAAACTTGCTTGGCCTGCCGTACTACACGCTTGGTTGATCCTTTACGACAGGGGTGTCATACTGGTTCCAGTAAGGGCAGTAGGTTTTTATTCCAAACTGAGCAGGAGCACCCCTGACTCCACCCATTTCCTCAAATCTTCAGGTATAAACTGGACTCGCCTGATGGAATGGGTGGAGTCTGGTGGGCTCCTGCTCAGCAACACCGGCTCTTTGAGGATCAGTCTGACACCCTTGCTCTACGATGATATGTCATCTTGGAGAGTGAGAGCTCAGCCATTTACTGGTGTGCATGATAGACATTAAGGATAAACCAATTACAGAAATACTGGCTGGCCAGGCGTATGTATGAATTCTTGATAAAAAATATATTAGTCCCAGTTAGTGCAAACTTGACGTCTGCTTGTTTTTGTCTTATTTTTCAACCAGTTTTTAGCTAAATCAAAGGAAACTCATGCCCTTGGTCGTCCTGGGGAGGTAGATGAAGTCGCCCAAGCCATTGCTTTCCTGGCATCAGATGCAGCGAGTTTTATCACCGGTGTAAACCTGCCAATCGATGGAGGCCGCCACGCCATGTGTCCTCGATAAGGAAATGTGTTTTGATGAAATAGTGACTCAAATCTATGAGTTCCAAATGATCAAATACACTATTGGAAACAATCTGTGTAAGAGTTATTGAGAATTTCCTTATTAATCCACAAGTCGTTTTATTCTGTTAATGCACCAATGAATTACTAAAATAAGTTTACAAAGCCCCTAATATAAACTTGTAGGCATATAACAGTATATATTCTTTACTGACATTTTTGTATAAGTATGACAATGGCACTAAGTACTGTATACAAACAAAAACAAGTAGCGCCTTTGTCAAGCACAGGAGCCACATGATACAAACAATATGTCATGTGAATATTAATATAATTTTTGTTTCTGACTTGTTAATATCCCAAATTAACAAGTAACAGAATATGGAGTAATTGTTGGTATATTCATCCTTAAATGTGTTAAAAACTGTTTTATCAGACTTCAAAAAATCCATTTGGACAATCAACAGTTCTCCTATCTCTTGGTGCAACAGTGGTCCGGTTGCAAAATGCCAAACTCTCATTGCAAAATACTGTGAGTGAAAGGTTTGTTGGTGGCAGAGGGACCGAAGGCACAGATTAGTGGCCTTGCTCTTTCAGCTCCTCAGCAAGTAAGTTCTTGGTTCGAATCCAGTGAAAAGCTCCTTTATGAGTGGAGTTTGTATGTTCTCCTAGTGTCACAACAACGCTAACATTTAACATCTGTAAATGGGTCCTGAAAGATACATTTGTTCTTTATTTATTATCCCATGATCTATACATCCTGCTATATCATCTGTATGAAACCACGGCACCTGTTCACGTGAACCGCAGCATTATCCTCACTTCCCAAAAGAGCGGCACAATAGTGGACACAATGGGTGAAGGCATAAATACGTTGGGGGTTTGCAGCGGCACAACCTTCATAGTAAATGTCTATCCTTGACGCACAATGAGGATCCATCTACATCACCACACACCGCTTCTCTTTCACTTCCTTTGTCACTTGTCCTTGAGGGAGATACTGACACAGAGGTTCACTATTTGTATAAAATAAGTGACAATTAACCAATGAGATGGGTGACTAGGTACACAATTACAGATGGCTGCAGAGGACAGTGTTGACAGCTCCCACCTTACCCTCAGTCATGTGAAGAAGTATTTTTTACAGAATTCTTTGGGTCATTGATAAAAAGCCCTCATCCCACTATCATTGCCATGTTCTGAAAAAGCATAGACTGCGAGATCTTATAAGGGATGTGAGAACTGACATCAATACTTTCTTTTGCCCATATTTGTCCAGTACCACACATTGTGTAGAACCTATAAAGACATTGGAAAGTTATTTTCACTGAAAAAAATTCTTTAAAGCCGCTTATTTTTCTAGAAGTACTTGCTGAGACGATACCTGAACTTTTTCGGGTATCTTTAAAGCTGATCTACTTTACTTTTTCCATCAGAAATAAGACATTTTATTTGTACTAACAGAAAGTGTAGTGTAAAAGTAAAAATGACCTCATCCCCAGTGCACTGCACACAACTATAAACAATGAGGTAAAAATACTTGAATTGAGTGGTTTAATGTTAATTTGAGTACATGCTGGCTGTCTGTTTTAAAACAAGATTTGCCCATGGGACAAGCCGTTCAGAACTGTTGCTTTGTATTCTCATTCCAAGGGAGACTTTTTTTTTTTATACAAGATAATTTGCTTGTCCCATTAACAAATCTTGTTTTAAGGCAGTCAAAATATACTGTATGTGATACATTTTGCCAAATTTGAGTGTGGTCTGTTGAAGCCAACAGGGAAACAGCGTCTCCTGGGATGAGATCCTGTGCTCCCCAATCCGGACTCCCCCGGTTCCTGGCTGCACCCTAGAAATTCATTCCATAAAAAACTTAACAGAATTGATGACAAAGGGAAGCCTTGGTGGAGGTCAGCATGCACTGGGAAGAGGTCTGACTTACTGCCAAGAACCTCAGGGACTTCAGGGAGGAACATGGAAGTATTTGTCCCAAGACTCAGGAAGGGAATCAGTGCTTTGCCAACACAGTTCCCAGTGAGCTGCTGACCTCCACGCATGAGATATCAATGAGTGACAGTTTTGGGAGTAGCAACAGTAATGTAACTACTACTGTAATGTATTGCTCTAACGTGGTAATAGATAGATAGATACTTTGTTGATCCTGTAGGAGAAAATCAGCAGCAAAAAGAAGCAGCAGCATTCTAAAAATCTAACCATTGTAATAATAAGCAACAGTATTAATATTCATTAATTGAGTGTTTTTTTTAAGGAATTCCAAGAGTACAGGCTGGTAACAGCTCTAAACATGACATATTTGAATCTTTCTTTTTAATGTTCTGTGATTATTTATGATTTTAATGCTTTCTTGTTTTATTCAGCACTTTGAATTGCCTTGTGTATGAATTGTGCTATATAAATAAACTTGCCTTGCCTTGCCTTGCCTGAATAATAGTCAGTAGCATCATTCTATAGGGTTGTGTTTTCAAGCCTTTCTTTGAAGTTCGCTTTTGTTCTCTGTGTCCTGCGTGCTCTTTGTTGTGGTCAAGAGGTGACAGTGAACCAGACAAAAACAAACAAAGGAACTTCAATGTCATTATGTTTCATGTGGTGGTCAGGAGATGATGTGGAGTTGTGATTCCAGTCACCAACAAGGTCAGGCGCTTGAGCACAGCTAGAATGGTCTGCATTTATTATTATGACAATGCATCAGTTTAATAATGCACTTTTTTGACACTTGAAGACTCCTCCCATGGCACATCCACTCTGTCAGCTGACTATGATTCTGATTCTGTCAATACAAATACTGTTTTACGACATAGATGTATCAATGATAGATATAGAATTGTGGCAAGACCAGGTCTGGTGGTCTATGCTGAGGGCATTGTTACTCGCCGCCTTGCGGCGCTGAGCTGGTGGACTATTTAAGCGCTCCCATCCCATGTCACTCCCTGTTTGCCCGCACTTCCCACTGGGCCGTGTGACTCTGCTCCTCTCCAGTCCTAGCGCTGCTGTATGACTGCAGCCTCACACCGCCAGTTTGCACGGCCTGATTTTGTGTGTCGCGCCCGGGGCATGCTGCCTCATCTGCTGTGACTGTCCCCGATGGTGATTGGCCTTGTCTGTGCTGGGCATTGTTGGGCATCACTGTGTCCGTTCAATTGGGGCAACAGTGCTGCTGCAGGATTGGCAGCTGGTGTCCGCGGCTTGGGCCAGCCCGTGCCCTGCCCCGCCCCCCTGCGGCATTTGCTTGTACAGTACATAACTTTCTGTGTGCGCTCTCCAGTCTATCACAGCGGTGTCAGCGGCGGTCTGCAGCGTTGGGACACGTCTCCTCTGCTGCTTTGCTCAGAGGAGACGTTCCCTCCTATAAGTTCCCTATAACTAAAAATAGGGTGGCGTTGTTGCAACCACTACTCTCATTTAGAAGTACTCCAAATTACCACCAGCTAAGGCTCGGTACCACGACATTTTGGCGTTGTCGGCAGGATTTATTTAGACTATAGCAGCCTTGGTTCCATTTAATGTGTATGTGTATGTGCATGTGAATGTATATGAAATTCCAGTGGTGTTAAAAGTTGAAGGGGGTTTCCTACAGCAATTCAGGTAATCAATCAGCTCTGTGCCTACGTCTTTTTGTGTTTTGATTTATTTGCATGCAGTTGTTGTGATTTCTATTGTTTGCTGTTTATATAATTTGATAAGTGGGTTAGTTAAACTGATTTGTGCACCATTTATTGTTCTGTGGCTTCCAACTTTAACCAAACTACTGTTTCATTTCAACTTGTGAGCTACATTGTCACTTGTTATCATTCATTGGTTAATACATTTTTATTATATTTATTTCAAAGGGCAAAGCAGCAGGTGGTCGGCGTGTGGGACCGTCCCTTTCATCTGGACATCTCAAATTTCATCCAAATTTGTAGTCTTTGCGCGTCCCAATGGAGGAGGATCTAGAGAGCCTCAGGAGCAAAATAGCCCAGCTAACAGCAGAAAATGAGCGGTTTCGTTTGTCACAGGTGTCCGCTACGCCTAGCACTAGCGCCGCCTCTTCTTCCACGGCTTTAGGACCAACTATCCCATCCACAGACAGGTTAGTCTTCATACCGCGTGACAGGAGATGTCCAAAATTTCGGGGTCCCACCGGTATTAGTTTGAATGAATGGGAAGAGGAGGTCCAGGCTTGCATGAGGGCAAGGCACCTGTCCCGGACCGATCAGGCTTTCTTTTTATTTGACCATCTAGAAGGAGAAGCCCGGGATGAGATAAAGTTCCGCTCCAGTGCAGAACGGAGTGACCCGGATCAAATCATTTCTATTTTAAAAGAGCTGTATGGAAGCGCAGAGTCATATGTGGCCCTACAGGAGCAGTTCTTCTCCCGGAAGCAAGAAGAGGGGGAGACATTGCAGGAATTTTCCCTTGCCTTGCTGGGACTCATGGAGAAAGTTAAAGCATCTGCTCCCACACCATTGCTAAATGCTGAGGTACTATTGCGCGACCAATTCACTGAACACGTGCTGGATGGATCTTTGCGCCGTGTGTTAAAGCAGCATATCCGGCAAGATCCCGCAGCCACCTTGCTCGTGGTCAGGGGAGAGGCTATGAGATGGGAGCGCGAAGGTCTGCCAGCCAGCATGCGTGGGCGCAGTAACTCGGTGCCCTCGGCATTGGGCCTCCAGTATGTTGTACATGGTAAACAGTCACCAGCCACTCTGCCCCCCTCGGAGGTGAGTGAGATTAAGCAAATGATGAAGAGGAGCAGCAGGAGCAGCTCGATCTGCTCACGCAGTCTATAGCTCTTCTTCAGGCTACACATACAGAGCGCCAGCGTAGCCGCTCACCACGGGCTAGGCTCATAGTTTGCGACCGCTGCCAGCAGCCGGGACACATCGCCCGAAACTGCGATGGCCAACGTGTCCAGGGTAGACGGGGGACGCCGCCTGCCCCCCAATCTTCTCGTCCACCGTTGGGAAACTAGTGCCCCCCGAGCCGCAGAGCCAATGC